GTGAGTGGTAGCTTTATTAAAATCATGCGTATGCTTAAGATTCGAGCAGAAGTTTTATGTTTATTGATTTCTCTTTACTTCAAGGTGAAGGAAAGCTCGCGTGGTGTTAAGACCGCATACAAAAAATGGCGTGATAACGGCAGCGGCCACAATCAAAATCCTAATCATCAATTCCATTTCGGTCTAAGCTCGCCCCAGCACTCGGATCGTCCGGACGGAAGTGTCAATAGCCTAAGTGGTTACGGACGCAAAGTCACGCATCGTTCGGCGCCAAGTTCGCCAGTGTGCAGCAAACGCCTGGAGCGTGAGATAAATTTGAATGGCAGCGCAGCGCGCGAGCAGCAGCAGCCAATGCTGCAGTTGCCACAGCAGCAGCGACGCGCTCCTGTGCCGCTGGCTATGTCCAGTTCGAGCAGCCACATACCTGCGAATGGCCATGCGTTGGGTGCGCCGAATAATGCTCATTTTGATCATCTTGTTGGTGCGTCTCCTGCTGTTAGCTCGGCAAGCTCGATCTGCTCATCAGAGATGAATTTGTCGCAGGAGCTGCAGAATCATCCGCTGTTCAAAACGCCCGCCGTTGACCGAAGCGTAAGTAGTCTAGTGCGTGAATACGAGAGACGGCTGCAGCTGCTATAGCGTCGACGTGTCGCTTAACGCTTTATTGTTCTATCTCTCATTATTCTCGTTGAAGTTGCTGTTATGTCACCAATAAGTTATTTATGTTCATTCTTTTCATTGCCTTTTTCATGTGTTTGTTGTGTTGTGATGTGTTGTCTTGTGTTGTCTCGTCTCGTCTGTCTGTCTGTTTATTATCGCCTGTCTGCCTCATCTTGAAACTTGCACCAAACACCAATACTTCACAAACTTGCAATGCCATCGCCAAATGCCAAACGCCAACTTCGACACGCAGCTAAAGCCCAACGCTGAGCAACAACACAGCACGCGTTTACGTAATGGAGCACCGCCGGCGCGCCCACCGCCACCAACGCTGCCAGCATCACAGCCTGCCTCCTACTACAATCATCCATATGCGGCCAATTCGAGCATCAGCAATGGAAACAACAACAAGAGCAAGAGCAGCATCAGCAACCCATATCCAATCAGCAACATGAAGCCTCCTAGGCATACTTCAACGCCCACTAAGGCACGTGCGCTGGCCAGCACAGACTCGAGCTTCGATAATCCACCAGATGTGCAGTCGCCTCCTATACCACCGCGACGTCAATGCAGTGCCCATGCTGTGGTGGCAGCCACAGCGGCTGCTGTCAGCGCTGGCATCAATCGTCTGGAGCGCAATTGCTGGCAGGATGAGCAAAATAATTCGATGCGCAGCTCGAACACCTCTTCAGCTTCGGCATCGTCTAGTTCTTCCTGCGCCTCCTTTGTGACGGCCGCTTCACGATTTTCGCAGCTAAATGTATCATCGCCCCAGAGTTCTGATTCAGCGCCCATACCAACACCGCGTTCCAAGAGAGAGGTACAACACACAGCAGCGCGTATACTTAAAGCTAAGAAACGTCCTGGTTGTGGTATTACACCCCCCTCACATCTCATACTAACACATCCAGCTGACCCGAAACTATCTTAACCAAGTCCAAGACTAATGGACAGGCCCTTTCGTAGCTTTGCGACTAATCCGCTTGCCTTGTAGTAGACTAATCCACGTAGATTGTCCTGCTTTTAGAAGTTTATCCTTACTAATCTATATCCATAAACATTGTGCACCTCGCCCTCACAGTCACCCCGCAGCAGTAACAGCAGCAACAACGCTCAACCACATCCCCAGGATAGCATGAATGATCTGATATCGCTGGACGATAGCAACAACACCAGCTTCGATCTGGAGGATTTCGATCCGCTGAATCAGAATGCGCGCCCGTTGCCGCCGCTGGGCAAGACTTTTGGCAGCAATCACAAGTCCAAGTCCAGCACCTTGCCCGCTGGTGTTAACAGCAGCGTAATCAACAATGTCGTGGGCGGCAATAGCGTTAATAATCCATTATATCCCTACTTTGCGCCTAAACACATGGCCACAGTTGCAGCTGTTACGAACCGAGTGGTGAACCCACTTCCACCACAAATTCAACGCAGTGGCAACAATGCTGCCAAGCCGCCGGATGATGATTTCGAACTGTTGCGCAAATACGGATTGGATCAGTTTTCTCTAACTACAACTGAAACAACAGCTGCTCCAGGTGCCAACACCAAATCAGCTTTAACAGCAGGTACAGGCGCTGGCGCTGGCAAGGGCATGAACAACTGGACGACCTTTGATTAGAGTGAAGGCGACGTTAACTGGAAAAGATACCAAAATAAGTGTGATTAGGTTTATGATTCGTATTGTATTATATATATATACATATACATAGCTAGGCCTAGGCGATATATGATATACCAGACAAAAAAAAAAAACCTTAAATAATATTATGCTAGACACGTAGAACAAGAACAACAAAAAATTTGTTACCTATTAGCGGCTTATTAGAAAACCAAAACAAATTTATGAGCAACTGTTTCAAAAAGAGATAAAAACAAATTACAAATATATTTGACTTCCAAATCAAAAAGACACACAAAGCATTAGCATAGCGAGAATTTAATCCAATTAGCTTTAAAAATCGATTAAAAATTCTATTTAAATATACATGTATATACATATTTAAACAAAATTATCATATGTATTGTCACTTGAATTGAATTTAAGACTTGGCTTTGTGCTCGGCCATGCAGCCTTCTATGCGTTGCTGCAGCGCCTTGGCTCCCTTCAAATTCACTTCCTCGTAGTCGGGCAGCAGCTGTTGCATGCGCTGAAGCCAGTCACCAATTTTAGGGTAACGCTGACGATCCACGGGCAGCAGCAGATCCAGTGTAATCAACGTGGTGTGTATTGATATATCGGCCACGCTTAATTCGTTGCCCACCACGAAGCTGCCCTGCTTCAGGAAGTGCTCCAATGTGTCATACGCATTTTGGCAAAGCTCCAAGCTGCGCTTATTGTATTCCGCCTCGCCGCCATAAATATTGCGCGCCACAATATCCTTGATCACCTGGAAGAGCACGCCGTTTTCGTAGTGCAGACGATGATCTATATGTGCGCGACGCTTAAGATCCTTGGCATAGAGTTGATCGGTCTTGCCATATTTGGAAACCATAAAGCAGATGATCGCATGGCTGGAAATAATATATATTAATATACATATTTATGTTTTGAAATACGCATATATGTAGACATACCTGTCCACATACACTTCGCCATCTGTATCTACGAAAACGGGTATCTGATGTTGCGGATTGAGCTGTAATATATGTATTATAGTTATTTATGGAACAAAACTAACCTATAACATTATAAATATTACAATATACAGTACAAACCATTTTTTTTTTTTTGGCAAAAAGAAAACCTAAACTAAAAACTGTAGTCTTTTAAATTTCGGTTGTAGCAATAGGTAATCAGTTTACAAATTAAGATTAAGATGAAAATGCATTAAAAGTAGTACGGTCTGTGAACGATAACCTTTCTATGTTAAAATGGTAATTAGAAATATGCATAAAAACGAAACAAAAACTTTAATAAAATACTCTTTCTGTGGCCAATCCTTTGGAATTTAATAAACATTGCGACTAGTCATCTTTATATGGTAATCAATGCTTTTATTCATACGAACCTAATAGAGTTAACTAGGTTAGATACGAAGGGGAAAACAAAGTCCATTATGCGTGAACTCGTACAATAAATTGAATACGTACTTTTAGAAACTCCTCACTCAAATGCTCCTTCTTTGAAAAATCAACGGCTCTGTGGATAATAGAGATTTCAAGTGGAAGGTAAAGGAAATATGGCTTATTTCGCACTCACTTCAATTCTACATCTAAACCAATTAGTTTAGCGGTCAGAATACAGGCCCTAGCTGGAGGACTGAAGAGTGCGTAATATAAAACAGGCTTTGGGGACATATTCAAATGAAAACACACAAATTAGGTAAATAATGCGAGCAAATGATGCACATACACAAAATAACATATGTTTTATGCAGTGCTGTAAAGGACAATGTTACGCTGCCGTGCTGCCAACTAGATGCATATTGAAAATCCAATGAGTGGCAGCACTTGCAGATCAGCTGTTAGCCGACTCTTTTTTAACGGAAAAACAGCGGTTCATTTGAACTTCAGAATTGCAATACATGCGATTATGTATCTAAATTTATTGGTTTTATTTTTCAAATACTAAATTACTTAGCGAAAGTCAAGTTTTCGGGACCAAAAATATTTATGAATGTATCTGTAAGTATATCATTGAAGTTGATTGATTGTGTAAAATTCTTTGGAGCTTTATCGCCTCTTTTTTTTCTAATACGATCTCAGGGCGAGTCTAAAAGTTCAATAACCGAAGTTTCTTTCTTTTCCAGATTGGTTTCATCCTCATCTGCAAAATAGAAAACAGTTTTCGTATATAAAGCAATTAAAAATGTGTAAAACAAGAAAGCACTCAAATTGGGAAAGTTGGAAACTAATATTTAAGGAATAATCAAACGTGATAACTTTAAATAATTAAAATAATCAGTACTAGAAGTAAATAAAACACATGGATTGTTTGAAAATATTATTTTGCTTTAATTTGCAGATTATATTGGCTTATACATTATGTAATTATATTCCCCCACATGCAGTTCGAAGATGTTTTTCATTGTTTTAAACAAAAATCTTTAGTATGTCTTTCTTTTTATTTAATTTAATTGGTTTGATTTGGTTATAAAAATGTTTGAAATTTCGATCAACTTTAATTTGGTCATTCATCGCGATATATGTATATGTATATATCATTTTTACATGTGTGTGTGTGTGTATATGTGCAGTTCGGAATGGATATATATGTGTATGTATATATACACATATATATATATATAATATATATATGATCCTATTAATAGGGTTTTTTCAATGGGCTTGAAATAGTAATCCAGTGGGCCTATATAAAAAATTACAAAGATGAAGCGTTTTAATTCTTCGATAGATTTAGCTTTATTATTGAGTGGAATTAATATTCTTCTTTTGCCAGTTGTTGCTTGCATTACTTATTTCCTTGTATCATTTGCAAAAATCAAAAAGAGAGGACATATAAATACATACAAATACGTAATTTTAAAGATAAACGAATGAATTCAAAAAAGACAAAACTAAAAACATAACTTACTTAGTTTCAATAAGATGAACGAAATATAACTTAAAATCGATGCGATTCTCTTGCCAATTTATTTTGCATTTATAGTTATATATATATGAATTAGGAATTATTGTGTAAAAGACTTAAATATTAACATTTGATTTATGTTTAGTATTACGCTATTGTTTAATGCATAGGTCTATTTGTTTCGATCTTTTGCTTATAAGTTTTGTGTGTGTGTGTATGTATGTTTAACTAAAATATATATTACGAACAACCCAATAAATTAAATAATTTATCATTTGTTGTATGTGTCTGTGTGTATGTGTGTTTGGGCGTGTATAATAATCGAGGCAAGCACAACACAGATAAATTAAATGACAAAAATAAACTAAAAGAATTAACTAAATTTATATTAAGTGTAGAGGCCTGATTCAAACTAAATACGAAGGAGCGTAGTTCAATATTTAAATAACAGAATTACAGATAAAATAAAATGAAGTATAAGCATAAAATAGGAACGAAGAGAACAACTGTGTAGCATCAGCAGCAAGTGTAAAAATTGGTAAGGGGTTGGGGAGGGGAGGGTGTGCAAACAACAGACCAACTGCAACAGCAAAAGCTACGTCTAACTGCGCCCTGCAACACACAAAAAGTTTTTTGGTGAAATTATTTATTTGAAACAGCCTATAAGTTTAAATTATGATAAAATAAATGATGAAGGACAAGCAAGAAAACATTTTGAGCCTATTCACATAAGCGAGATATTGCATTCAAATTAAAACATAGATAGATACAATTAGAATTATATTATAAATTTCTCAACTAATTTGGCGTCTAGTAAAATTTCGAAATACTCGGAAACTGAACTCGTCGAGCAAGAAAATTACTTATTTTTTAATTGAATTCATGAAAATGTACATCAAAAGTAGCCTCTGAATAGTGAGATATGTATATATGTATACATATATGTATATAACTGATTATGTGTGGGTGCGTGTCTGGTTATGATTAAATGCGAGCAAAGGATGAAAAAGAGGGCAACAGATTAAAAGCAAAGCCAACGAAAACAAAACAAAACAAAAGGAAAATCATAAGATTTGTGTTGGCGGTGTGTGTGTTTGTGTTAAATTGTTTACAATTTGTGTGTGTGTGTGTGTGTCTGTGTGCCTGTCTATGTATTAGCGTGGGTGTCTATGGAGCTCCGTTTGGATTCTGCGCTGAGGCAGACGCTGTGGCAGCAGCAGCGGCTGCCACTGCAGCCAGATCCAGGAGTTGAAAATGCTTTTGATCCGCAACTGCTGCGGCGAGAGACTCCAATAGACTCGCATGCATTGCAGCTGCCGGTTGGTCCCCAACTAGCAGTTGCTGTTGTTGTTGTTGCTGTAGCGTTTCAGGCGATGGCATTGCTTGCTGCTCGGGGGAATCTTTCGTGGAGTCGATGGTCGAATTATAATGCAGAGAATAGAAAGAAGAAAGAGAGAATAGAACATACATATATATAAGCATATATATATAAAGAAGGTAAATGTGTAAGAGAAAAGAGGAGCGGAGACAGAGATAGTGAGAGAATTGCACTATAAAAAACTATATATGTATGTAAATATATACGTTTATATATATTTATGGATTTGGGGCGGAAACTAAAACACATTTCTTTCAAATTGATCGAGAATTAGCTAAAAACAAAATCATTTAATTATATTTTCAAATGGGAGTACATTGTGTATTGATGACAATAAATAAATAAATACAACTTCAAAGTAAAATGAAACAATTTTGAAAATAACAAAATAACACGAAGAAATTTCTTGTACAGCTTACAATAGAAAACGTTTTAAATAAATAAATTTAAAATATTGCATTTTTTGAGCAAATAGAGTGCAAACTCTAGACTTTATGTAGTGAAGCTGTTGTGGATCCTTGACAGGACCGCACCGCCTTTATTTGTTAACGCCTTTGCTGCAAGTAATATATATGCACATAGATCAACTGAAATTCTATGTTGGGCTAACAGAACATACCGCATTTTACGACCTAAGAGTAGATTAACACGCACGTAAATTGGCATACGATTTGCCTTTCTATAAATATCTATAAGAAAATCATACATATTTATAAAAACGCCATAAATAAAATAATTAAAATCCTATTACACAAAAGTTAAATGGGAATAAAGGTACTGAAGTCAATGAGAGCAGAATGCATTTAATAGATTATGAACCCAACAGAAATAAGATCAAAACCTTTCATATTCAAGACAATAAACTATTCTACTCTTGATTAAACCCAACTATAATTCGAGCTAACAGCCACACAAAATTTCAAATGTCAATTACTATAATCCTTTCTTTTTATTTTAAACGGAACTCGAAAGCAGGTGAAAAGGCAATGGGGGAAAATTTGAGTTAAAAGCCATCGCTGGTAAGGAGTATGTGTGTGCGTGTGTGTCTGTGTTTTTGTATGTAAGTGAATATTGCCTTATGTATAAATATTAGCCTAGCCTTTTATAAATAATGGTATTTAACTAAATCTGTTAATTTTGTTTTTCAGCTACACAGATAGTTTGTCAACAAATGGATAGCTGCCTGTTGCTTTGCTTCTTATTACATAAATGGATCCAACGTACCAGTTTTTTGAGGCTGCTGAGACGAGGCGTAGCCACGTTGAACTGCGCCCGTTCCGTTCGATGTGGACGTGGCAATCGCTTGTTTAGCTGGGGGTCGCCGCTTGGCCAGCGGCATATCATCATCCGAATCACTTAAGGTTAGATCCACCTGCAGAATATGACATTAGTGCTAAGCATTATTATTATTAGGTTGTTGGTTAAACAAACTTACGGTTTCACTATTTGAAGTGGACGTGGGCTGCTCCTCGGGCATTGGAGACAGATCAGACTTCATCGGCTTGGTGTCGTCAATCAGTTCTAAGCAAACAACAATGTTAAACAACATTAAATTTAAACAAATAAATATCTACATATTCCACTTTCTAGGTATTTATCTAAATAAACATATAATAGCTAACAATGCAGGTAGTCTACTAACCAACATCATCCGATATGACCTCCACTTTAGAAACTGGCTTTGATGGCGTATCTAGTATTTGAGTCTCGCTACGTAGGCCTGGTGTACTCCACGAGCCATCCTGATGCAACTGAATCTCGGTATCATCGCTCTTTAGCAACGAGGATCCTAATACCTCTTGGAAATAGCTATTTGAATAGAAAATTGATTTAGTATTAGTATTACCAGTATATTTTGGGAATGATATTTTCGTACCCATCAATTACTAAATTATCGTAGATGGCTGGTCTATCGCACACAGGACAATTCCAGGTGGGCTTTCTCTCGTTCATTTGCAGGTAGAGGCTGGCGTCAAAGCACTGCAAGTGCGAACAGGTTGATGCGCGACACGGCAGTGACATTTTCATTTTACCCAGCGGGCAATTAAGCGACACCTTCAGCATGGTCGTGGCTATCTCGCAGTCCGCATCCTCTGTAAGCTTCTCCTTAACTGTAAAAAATCATAATTAATAAATGTATTGGCAAAGTCAATATACTTTTAGCTTACTCAGAGCACGCGTGTAATCTGCAGGCTTGACGCCCTTTGTCTTCATACGATGTAAGAGCTGTGCGGATGTCAGCTTCTTTACCAAATAGACAGCCAAGCAGTAGCTACGTGTGTAGTCTGGGCACCACTGTACCATTATTGTATTTGTTACTGTCGGCGACAATTTCACATTTGAGGTCACATTCACTGGCCGTGGTGGACGTTTTGGTTCCACGTTTGGGCGATTTGTAGGAATGACATTCTATAGTTATAAGAAGCATTGAAGCGATCAGAAAACGAGCATGATCTGGAAGCTCATTGGACAAGTGGAAAACTATTTGTCAGTTATACAAGTGAGTCAGTCTGGCTATGTCCATAAAGTACATAAAATAATGAACACGTGAAAACTTACAGGCAGCTGACATAATTTGTTGTTTACTTTGACATTGACGTTTGGCGGAAAACAATCCTCCTGCTCGCACGAAGTCTCCACGAGACAGAATCGCAGCTGCACTTGTATGGCGTGCTCCACTTTTGAACTATTACGGACATCTCGATTTGTGGCTATCTCTGTGGCCTGCTGGGGCGTCAGTGTGAAATAGAAAGGCACCTCTTGCACACGCTGTGTATTGCGCGGCACCAGGGTTGATGGCTTAATCAGTGTGCCGAGGACATCATAGAATGCCAGCTTTTTCAGACGCACATCTGGATGTATGGGCATCTGGCTGTTCATACCGTGCGTGTGAAGGAAGGGTAGCATATTGCCGGGTGCACCGCCAGCGCCGACTTGCATCTGGGCGGGATTACCGGTGCCCACCTGCGGCACCTGTGTCGGTGCACCACCAACGAGACTCGCATTATTTGGCTGCACAGCCGGCAGCTGCATGTGCGAGTACATTCTGGTTGGATCTATGTACTGCAGCGTGGGTGTTTGTTCTTGCACGGATTGAGCGTAGACTTCTTGTACCTTGGGTGCGAGTAGCTCCAAGTTAGTGCGCAGGAACGATAGGATGCGACCTTGCAGATCGGTTTTTCGTCCAGCGAAGGAAATGTTTAGAAACGATAAAATCTTTTGCAGCTCTACAACACGTAGCATCTGCACCATTTGCTCACATTCCTTTAAAACAAAAAAAAGCAGAGTAGAAAACCCCGATTAAAATGACAGTGACAGTCGAGAAGGCACGACGACGCCGAATACAACACCGCATACACAAATACACACAGTCAGCCATGCAGCTAATGGCAAAAGTGTATGTGTTATCCGTGTGTATGTGCCTTTACTAAAATACAACACATATCCCATGCGGATCTCTATATAACCGTTAAAATATATTATTTTGTCAATCACAAACAATATTTTAATCGTAACTAAACACCGGTAGGTTAATGCTTAAGCGTTTGCAAAAAAAGAGATACACCGACCGCACAGTGGACACAAAAAAATCGCATGTCACAAAATGTACATTACCTTGAACGACACGAGCGAATATAACACTTGTGGGCTTTGCCATCATTCAGTCAATCACTATTACCGATTTTTTATTACTAATTTATTGCTTAGTAACTAATGTAAACATATACTGATATTCAACACATTTGTTATTTTTAATTCCCCCGCATTTATCTTTTTAATCGCACAAATTTGTTTTGTCGGAGGAAATATGGCGGATGACAGTGTTGTAAAGCAATCGTTTTTTGTCTAGCAGCAAGCGTTTGCGTATGTTGCACTAGGGGGCGCTGAAAATGAGGCTTGCCCTGCGGTCACATTGTTTTTACTTATCAATTGTTTTATTTTTTCTTACGAAAATGCATTGTTTTTATTTGTAATTAGGTTCACTAAATGAAACACGATATGAAAAAATTACCTTGAATTTTGCCGCATCAAATGTGTTTACTGCAGTTGGCGTTGATTGCTGCGTTGTGGTAGAAGCGGCATTTTCCGCCTGAGTTTGCGAGCGGGTCTTTCGCATCACAATTGTTTGTTTACGTTTGATGTTTATTCAGCACAAAATATGTGATTTTACTGGCGCTCGACTGGAGTTCGCAATGCACTTAAATAGAAACACTTTCTCAACATATTAGAATAAAACAAATGACAAAAAGTTCCCGTAGCGTTAGCGTCTGACTTTTATTAAAGATCAGTGTGACCGTTTGACATAATAGTCAAAATAACAAAACAAATATTAGAGAAGTTACGTTAAACAGGGAGGCTATGATGCTTACGTTTTGCTCGATAGTATGGAGTTAAGGAATCGAAGTAAATTAGGAACCAATTCAAATTTGGAGCAGACGGGACTATATTTGATTGCCCATCTGGCAGCCTTATATCTTTTGAACGAGATGCCAGATTCCTTATTAACATACCGCGTTGGAAGCTTCAGTTAAAGCTGATTTTTTTTACTATAAATCAGTATACGGGAAAAGTGCGCCTGCAAAGAACAATTTTGCGAAATATTTTCGACCGGTGATTCTTTTTTAATTCAAAGAGGTTAAATAAAAATCGACCAAGGCGATCGGATGAAAATATTGCTCTCGTGACGTCCAAAATTGAGACGTCGCCAAGGAAATCCGTAAATCGCCGATTGGAATTGCCCCAAAGAGTCATCGAAGTGGCTCAAGATGATCAATATGTGAACAAAATTATATGTCTGATGAGGCTAATTTTTTATTGAATGGGACGGTAAACAAATCCTCTGAAAATCCTTAATAAATTCAAAATGTATTTCTTTACGAGGCGTTAGTGCGAAAAAGATTATTGGGCCGTTTTTCTTCCGCGCAAGTTTGATTCTTTGTTTCAAAATTATTTAATTATTGCAGTTATTCTTTGGATTTTTCTCATTTATTTTGTCATGCATTTCAAATTGTATTTGAACTATTTAAATATATGTTATTGTGTTTTTTAATTTATAAATATTTTTGTGTGTTTCAACGTTTTATATAAATATTTTTCTTAAATTGTGCTTAATTTGACTTAAGTGTACGATTTATGAAATATTCTGCTTGTTGTTTGGTGACCTCAAATTTGAGAACAATAATTGGTAAAATTTTATAGCACTACACTCTGTAAAATTTAAATATATCATTCGAGTTTAAGCTGTTTTCACTGATTGTTATTAAGTTACATTTATTTTTATTTTTTTGCTGTATTATATATAAAAAATTGTTTTAAAAATGTTGTTTCTAACTGTATGTGCGTGAGAGAACTTCGGTGAGCCTTATAATTTATAATAAGAATTTCTTTTAGTTGTGCAACAATTAAAATGCTTAATACAAATTACATGCAAAATTGTGTTTGAATATATTTTGTTTTCGGTTTTCTTTCATACTTTGTTTTTGGTGTGTGCCAACAATTGTTTCATATTTTCACGTTTTTTGTTATTTTGTAAAATGTTCAATTATAAATTATAAGTACAATACGTAAAATACATTTATTTAATATATTTAGCGATATCACCACGATTTGTTGTTATTGTGCTCTTAAAAATCATGTAACAGAAAAGTTTTTATATTCTTAAATTAATCATACTTATACATATATATATGTATGTATGTGTGTGTATATATAATATATATATATATATATATTTAATTACTTTATGCTTAATATGGTAAATGCAGTAAAAATACGCTTGCGTCTAAAAAATACACTTCCCGTTTAATCTTCTGTTCGGTTAATTATTTTCTGTTCTGTTTTTGTTTTGTGTTTCAGGTCTATGTGAAACTAATTATATATTCAAGTCTAAGATCTGTATCGTTGCTCTAAGGTGGAATCTACAAATCAATTGGCTGTAATTCAATTTTTTATTTTTTTTTTTTTTTTTTTTTTTTTTTTTTTGCTGTAATAGGCAACAGGCGGTGCTTGGACAGCGAGGGTTAATTACTCGTATAAATGCAAAAGTTTGCCTGCTCCTATGTCCTTACAAGGTGCAGTATTCCGTTAGAATTGGTATGGATTTGAGTAACTCGTTAATATTGTGCTGCTCAAGATGTGCGACCAGTTTCTCAGCTGTCTTTAGCAGATTAATACAGTTCTCAAGGTTCTCAACAATCTCCTTGGTCATGCTATCCGACGACTTGGCTATCAGCTCGGCTAGCTTAGCGCCCACATTGCATTTGATCAGCTCATCCTGCAAACGCTGAGCCTGTTCCGCTTCTCTGCCTGACTGCGACAAGTATACCACAGAGAGTATACAGAGTGCAATCAATGCTTCGTTCTGCATGACTAGATGCTGTGCTGTTAACATGTTGACCATGGCTTCCACGGTGCCCTCATTGCTAAGAAATTCATTCAGACTGCTGCGATCATAGTCCTGCGCCAAGGGTATTTTATCGGCAATCTGTTCCGCTGGCGCATCGCCTTTACGGGGAAGCGCATAGGCAATTTTGTTGAGATACGCATGCTTAATCAACCAGGCCATCAGACGCAATGATTCACCAGTAACGCCCGCATAATCGGACGATTTGCTCCAATGCACGAGCTGTTCAATCAGCGTCTTGTTTTTCAGCAGCTCCAATGCCAGTTTCTCTGCAAAATAATAAAGTAAGTGAGCTGTTGTGGCTGTTATTCAACATCTTATGTTTAGACTTACCCTGACCATCTACGGTCATGCGCAGCGTGCCAAGCAGCTTGAATACCACCGGTGGCTGATGAATTTCCAGCATGGGCAATATGGTCTGTACCAGACCCGCCTGAATGACAGCATTCTTATTTGGCTTCGGTATGACCAGATTCCGTAAAGCACTTAGCAACGCATGCTGCAGGCGCACATCGTCCTTGACGCCATTATTCTTGGCCAGCACCTGGAGCAGTTTATTCATCGTTTGCTGTTCTACAAAGTAAATACAATGGCTGTCGGTGCGCGCAAAGTTGCCAAGAGCCAGTACACCGGTGGTTAGCAAATCAATATCCGTCGAGTCCAGCCAATCGACCATGTTCTTGAGCAGCGGCGTCGTATACAAGTAATGCATGGATTCATCTGTAAGGATTCAGTATTTTAAATTAGATGAAATATCAGCAATTAAACAACTGACACTTACCGCCCGTTAGAATGAGCACAATCAGTTCGCATGCCAGTTTCATAAGCGCGCGGGCCTCGCTGGTGCTGGCCAGCGTTTTATATTTCTCCAGCAAATTGTAGATTGTCTCGCAGAGGCCATCCTTGGCCAGGAGCAGCTTGACTTCATCGCTTTCCGCTTGATAGTGCAACAGCTCCAGGCACATCTCGGCCAGGTCGGGATTGGTGGAAGCAGCTAAGATGCGTGACAATTTAATGTTTAGGTGTGAATCAAAGTTGAGATCGGCGACATTTTCGGTAAGTATGCTGAGCAGGGGCAGCGTATTGAGCAGCAAATCCTCGTGCTGTTCCACATTGCTGGCACCTGTGTCGACAATGCGTTCCAGCTGCTGCATAATACCCAGTTCCATGGCGCGCTTGGCCAGACCCTCGCCACCCAGTAGATAATTGGAGAGCAGTCCGCCCCTAACTTTGATGAACTGCGGCGCATTCACCGCATCCTCAATTTCCGCAATGTCCAATAGCCGCAACAGCACCGCATCGCCCTCCAGCTCCAATATAAGATCCCGAGCTTCATCGTTCAAGTAGCAAATGTTGCCCAGGGCTCGGCATATTTGAATAGGCAGCTCCATGCTGCCATCGGCTGCTGGGACATGACGCAGGCATTCGAGGAAGGCGGCGATGATATCGCGTTTGGTAAACTTTTTGCGTTGCACCTCCGATTTGGTTATCTCGGCAATGCATTTCGCCGCCTCCTTGCGCACATTCGTGTCCTCGCATTGTGTCAGACGAAGAAAGCAATCGGCCAGCTCATGTTTGTCAAACAATTTGGGATCCTTTGTGGAAGAGATTTCGCTGAGAAGTGTCGTCGTTGTGTTGTCCAGGCTAACGCTTGTCGTTTTCAGCTGCTCAATGAGCTCGTCCATTTCGGCTGAAAGCAGGAGAAAAGAGCAAATCGTTTCATTAAATTTAACTGTATTAAGCATTTTCTTTTATCTATCTTCATTTATGCGTGTGTTCGAGTGGGGTATAGGATGTGTGCGTGGGCGAGACAATTGAGGCAAATTGTGGCCTATCCTTTCCATCGTTTGGCGTAACAAATTTATTGCTAACAATTTCAGTTATTGGCCACAGAGCCCGCAGAAAACAAAAGTAACTAATGCAATACCATTTATTAGCGAATTCTCAGTCCGCCGGAAATGCTTTAAGCGTGTTGCCCATTAAATACTCATTTTCTTTACAGATAGAGAGAGCGAGAGCGAAAGATTGAAAGCTTGAGAATTGCTTTAGGCAACAGACAAACAGTCAATTTGCATAAATTCTCCAGCAGCACAGCTGGCAAACGAAAACAATGCCAAAAAAAAGGGAGAAATTTAAGTGATAAATAGCATAACGAATTTAAAATGCTCTGCAAATAATCGTAGGGGAGGGTAACAGTCAAATATACAAGAATTTTATGCATATAAAAGAAGGGCTGAAACCTTTATTTGTATTCCTGAGAATTGCAGAGGAGGACTATAATAATATACCTTAATTTTAGACATACAGTCACAGAGGTGCAAGAGATGTAAATATAAAACGAATGCTAATTTATGCAATTACGAATCACCGAGAAGAGTAGCTTCTCCCAATTCATTTTATTATGACTAAAAAAAATGTAATTTACGCGTGATTTAACACATTTTTCGATTTCAATTATACAATTCTGATCTTTGAATTATTAATTATTTTATTTCAAGAAAATTGGATGTTCAAATGAAGTCAGAAAACTAAGCTCTCATGCTTCGGTTGCCTTGAAGTGCCTTTTGGAACACATTTCTAATGCTTGCTCTGTAGCTTTCAGTGTCATTTCCCGGCTTTCCAGCTCATAAACCTCGGCATCTACACATTGACTTCACAGAAAGTAAATCCCCTTCAAGGAATTAACAGCAGTGCCCAATTGAGGGAGCAGTAAGGCACATGCTGCTCTCAACAAGTGATTATCCCTTGGACCAAGCTAGAGCAATGCACACAGAGCAAAAAAAAGGAAGAATAAAAACAAACAAACAAACACATGGCTGAAAACCCCGCCTAATGCTATTCTGATAAGCTTTTTTCCATCCCATCCAAGCGAAGCGAAGGGCAAGGGTCACACTGCGAGCC